AGCCTTAGTTTTAATTCTTTTTTAATATTTATTTTTTTTAGTTGAAGTTGAACATAATACATTTTTTTAATTTACTTTTATGTGGTGCTGAGGATCAAACCCAAGGCCTCATTCATGCCAGGTGAACATTCTACTCCTGAGCCACAACCCCAGCCTCTAGTTTTAATTCTTTCACAAAAATTTTCAAATATTTTTAAATTTGAATTTTTTAGTTAATCAATTTGAAATTGTTAATGCCTTTAACTGATTCTTCTCTTTTGACTCTAATCTGTTTTATTGACAAAATACTTTTTAGGTGACAAGATACAGACAATTTGGCTAAATGGAGGAAATTCTCAATTTCAATTTCTTTTCAGTAGAATATTCTAGTATTTCAATCAAAATATTTTCATCAATAATGGTTGTTGTTTTTACTTCATATAGTCTTTTTTTCTACTTCTGATTCTTTTGAATGTATTACTAAATCTAAATGCTATAAATCTTAGACCTTCTCAGGATCATTTTATCTAGTACAGAAAATTTTATCCAGTCCAGGGCTATCAAAAGTCTTCACATGGGGCTGTGGTTGTGGCTCAGTAGTAGAGCACTTGCCTAGCATGTATGGGGCACTGGGTTTGATACTCAGCACCACATAAAAATAAATAAATAAAGATACTATGTCCATCTACAACTAAAAAAAATATATTTTAAGAAATCTTCACATAAATCAAGATGTTCTAAAGCATAGTTATAGAATTTAAAAATTATTTGTTTGCTTTAACAAAGTTAGAATTCAATCTTACTTGCAAGCTTGGTTTTTAATAATTATAGTTCATTAAATCTTCAGAAATTTAAGCTTTTTGATATTTAATATTTCAGACACTTCAAAATTTTTTAACTATTTTGAGCAAAATGCAACCAAAATTAGAGGATTCATTTACAGAAAAAATTCAAGATCATTGTAGGACACACTATCTAATATACAAAAACATTCCTTAAAAGTTCAAATATTTCTAAAATTCTTATCCATGGTACTGTAAGTGGTATCATGCTGAAATATGTTTAATTTAACGTGTCAATATAAAAATTTTGCAGTTCAATTTCTTAGTAAATATACAAAATAATTAAATTTGCGCAACTTCAGCTCTTGTTTTGATTAATGAGATATTGTAGCTTGCTAGGATACAATTGTTAATTATATATACACAATGACCAATTTTAAGTACATTTTTTTCTATGTAGATTTCTCAATTTACCAAAAATGTTATCTTTACTTACATCATTACAAAACTACATTTTATTATGTCACTACAAACCAATTTAAACTTGACTCTTGAAGCTTTTAGCTGAGTTTATAGTAACATTTACAATAATGTTGGTGGTTTCATCTTCAATGATTGAACTTCTAAGAACTTGGCTTTGATTCTATGAGGAATTAACCACTCCCCCATCAAACTATTATAGGTAATTTACCTGATTTTTATGTGAGGACATTCACATAAAAATGGCCTCATTTAACTCTTTACAAAGTTCCTCTTGTGCTAATGGAGTCAACACATTAAAAGCTTTTCTTTGGTTACAAAAACTATCTGTAATAGAAAAATGAAACTGAAAGAAATCCATCTGATGTTAATAAAAAGTCATGCTCACAGTGATACATAAATAAACCATTGTCTTTGGATATAATCTTTTAAAAGAAAGCAACAATCTTTTGAAGCAAATTTTGATGTTCTTCAGCAGATTTATCTCTTTAGATTTTCATATGGTATGGGTATATTCATCACCTTCCTTAAGAAACTATTCATTTTCACATTAAAGACATACATCCCACTTTTTAGCTCTTCACAGCTAAAAGGGTTTATTAACAAATAAAAAATGACATCAAACAATATAATAGTTGTACAATTACACCATAAAATAAATAGAAAAAACACTTTTGCAAGAGAGTTCAAACTCCTCTCAGCAGGAGTGCTTGCCATCTATTTCCCACACATACATCATATGCACATAACTGAACCTATAATTTCCCACGTTTTCCACTGACCCCACTGATTTGCACTCTGGCAGCTTCACACAACTCACAGGCCAAAACAGAAACTATGGGCTAGCTGGCTGGAATGTGAAACAGCTGGCAGAGGTCACAGGGACAGCTTATATTAGATTTTGACTGAAAGTGTTCCTGCTCATTTTTCACTTACAATCACAAGTTAGTAAGTAGACCATTCATTGCATATGGGCAGTTTACACAGTAAAGACAGACCATGCCTGAGAGCTGGTGGGATGAAATTGTATGTACACTGTTTATCTGTAGAACATGCTAAATCAGTTGGGAAAACAGACATAAACTGAGACTGTCCTCAGCAAACTAGCATGTGTGGTCACTGTGTCTATAATTCAGTTACTAGTTTTTGAAAGGAACTTGGCAACATTTCGTTGTTTTGTCTTACCACATAACCATAGGCCTATAACACAAAGGGTCCTTGGCTTTCTCTCAACTCCTGCTGCACTTTGTTCTTGCTTTTATTGTAAGAGTCACTCACCACATTGTACCCTTCTTTTTGCATACCTGTCTATGAATTCCTGGAGGGAGGAGATGGGTTTTATGCAGGTTTATATCTCTGGTGCTTGATACACAGTGAATAATCAAGAAATGTTTATTGTTGAATGAATAGATGAATACAAATGACCCAGGGAACTTGAAAAAGAAGGATGTTTGTATCTCTTAAACCGTGTTTCTTACTTATACTCTGGATGCATGGGATGATGTGGGATTGGGATTGGGAGTTTATAGGAGAAAGCACCTTTGAACCTGCTTTTTGTGTTTTCAGTGGTCCTGGGAATTGAACCCAGGGGTATTCTACCTCTGAGCTACATCACCAGCCCTTTTTAAAATATTGTGATATGGTCTCGCTAAATTGCTCAGGCCACTTCAAACTTTCAATCCTCTTGCCTCAGCTTCTAGAGTTACTAGGATTACAGGCATGTACCACCATGTCCAGCCCTTTGAACTGGGTGCTTCTAACATCAGTAGCCCACAGGACATTCCACCTTAGGTCATAATCTCAAGCCAAAGTAAAAAGAAGGTGAGGTCCACAGTGCAGGCACCAAAGGCAATTTCAACTTTGAACAAATTTTTTTCTAGCAAAAGTGATTGAAGTCTTGGGAAGGGGCAAGATAGGCAGGCTCCACGGTGTTTACAAAGGAAGATTCTCCAGCAAAGGATTATTTCCAGAGGAAGTAAAATTGTATACAAACATACTTCAGCAGATTAATCCAACCAAATTTAGCATATGCTTTTATAAATACCATAGCCCATGCTTCAAAAATAAGTCTGGATTTCTTTTTGGAGGGATTTAACCCAGGGTGCTTAACCACTAAGCCACATCCCTAGCTCTTTCTTGGTTTTATTGTTTGTTTGTTAATTAATTTATTTAGAGACAGGGTCTCACTGAGTTGCTTAAGGCTTTGCTAAGTTGCTGAGGCTGGCTTTGGGATTCTCCTGCCTCAATCTCCTGAGCCACTGACATTACAGGCATACGCCACAGTAATTCTGGATTTTTTTTTTTAAGTAGGAAATACTTTAGTCAGAAGTCAGAGTTGAGAAAGAGTGGCTCCTTTTTACCATGTGCACATCCTACAAGTAGAGCCAGTTTTATGGAAGTAAAAAAAAATCTACCCTAATTGACTAACTCTTTAAAATCCAGTGTGGTTTTTATTACCAACTTCTGTCAGATTTAGTTGGAATCGTTCCTCCTTTTTTTCAAGCATTTTTTGAACTCTACTATATGTGTCAGGCACTGGCCTAACTGGTAATGGAAAAGCAGAGGAAGATGAGGCTGTTCTCAAGAGTTCTCTGCAGAGTGGAAGAAAGACATGCCCCCAGTTGTGGAGTGGGAAGTGTGAGAATAAGAGTGCAGTCAAAAGTGTCTCCTGGCACTGCCTTCCACCCACTGCTTCCAACATTCCTCCAGCATCCTCGCTTCCTGGCGGGATGAGGCTTGCAATTCCTGGCCTCTCCACCTCCACCCACTTTCTGATTCTTCCACCTTATCAGCTTTGAGCTTTCAGGAGCAGTGCTGGGGTGAACATTTATGTGAACCAATCTTCCTGCACTTTCATGGCTATTTCCTTAGAACACATTTCTAGAAGCAGAATTTCTGCACCAAAAAAAAAAAATATGCAAAATAATAAAGCTTTTCATGTATATTTTTAGATTGTAATATCAAAGATGGTAATCCACATGCCTGCTTCAAATAAGAGTCTCCCTTCCACAGCCTCCTCAATGCCTGTCACTTTTTTCTTTAAATATTAACCAATTTTTGTGATTTTGTGTGCTTGGTGTCTTGTTTTAATTTGCTGTCTTCAGATTACTTGTGAAATGTTTTTTAAAAATATATTTCCTGGGCTTTGGTTGTGGCTCAGCAGTAGAGCGCTCGCCTAGTACATGCAAGGCCCTGGGTTGGATCCTCACCACCACATAAAAATATATAGATAAAATGAAGTGTTGTGTCCAACTACAACCAAAAAAAAGTTTTAAACTATATTTCCAAAAATAAATAAGTAAATAAATAAAATAAAACATAAAAATTATATTTTCCATGATGATACTACTGAAGACAATATCTTTTTGTTCTACCTATTTTTCAAGGTTTTATACTTGTGTAATGTAGTTAAGGCATAATATGTATATATTTTTATATTCTGCACTTTTTTTAACCCTATGAAATTATCATGAGTATTTCCTTAAAATCCTTAAGGCCATTACTTTTAATTGTTGCATATTCAGATAGCTTTCTCACACACACACACACACACACACACACACACACACACACTCTCTCTCTCTCTCTCTCTCTCTCTCTCTCTCTCTCTCTTCTCTTCTCTTCTCTTTTCTTTTAAAAGTCTGATTTCTATTTCTCTTTTCTCATGAATGAAGTTCTTTCATTCTCTGCATCCTAGGGAAAAGTGAGGAGATAGATAGGTGATTTTTCTCTATCATTCCCCTTGTTTTCCTCCCTCAGGAACTGAAAAGCCCCCATACTGGCAGGAGCCCATCTATGAGCTGGACACAAGTGATCCAGGAAACAATGGTTTCCTCAATGATGACTTCATTGTGTGGATGCGGACCGCTGCCTTTCCTACCTTCAAGAAACTATACCGTCGGCTCTATCGAGTAAAATATTTTTCTGATGGCTTACCTGCTGGTAATTATACTTTCGACATATCCTATAGTATCCTTTTATACCACTTTTCTTTCTGAAGATGAAGGAAAATATGGCTACTGGTTGTTGAATTCTTTCATTTTATACTTTGGTATTCTCCAAATTTATTCACCAAAAGAAAAAAAGTGCATTTCTCTCTTATAGATAATAGTGTGGAGTGGAGGAAATACTGTCCCCTATTTCTCTAGAGTCTTCATCTAGGACTGACATAAGACATTAACAGGAGAAAAAACATCCAAAATTTATTTTCACAGATGTAGGAACATTTTCAGGTAAAACAAGACCCAAAGAAGTGACTAAGTGTGTATGTACTAGGTTGAAAAGAGTGGCAATTGTGGAGGAGTAATTAGAAAAATAAGGGTTAGTTTAACCAAGTTTGTTTATACAGATGCCCCTTACCCTCAGCTCCCAGTCTTTAGTGATAAAAACATTTCTTCTCTCCTGTTGTAGGAAGAGCATCTTTCTTCTTCTGTTTTGTTTTCCAACAAGCATAAAATCACTTGATTTTATTAATATTTAATATGACCAATGTAAAGCATAACGAAGTTATCCTATACATTGTTACATTAACATTTAAATATTACAAAATAACATTAGGGAAGGGCATCTTTTTTAATATTTACTTTTTAGTTATAAGTGGACACAATATTTTCATTTATTTATTTATTGTTATGTGGTGCTGAGAATTGAACCCAGTGCCTCATGCATGGTAGGCAAGTGCTCTACCTCTGAGCCACAACCCCAGCCCAGGGAGGGCATCTTTCACATGGAAGTTTTATCTCTGTTTTCAGGAAGAAATTGGAGGTTGGAGTACCCTTCTTTTACTTGCTGTTTTTCAAGTGTCTTCAAAATAATAGGTTAAAGAGGCATATTTTGGGGTGCATATCTCCAACTTCAACTGTTAACTTAAATTTTGTACTTTTTTTTAAGGACTAAGAGCTAATAGCAGTATCAGGTAAAGAAGTCCATATAAGCATGAATAACAAAAGTTCTTAGGGACAAAGCATTTTGTTCTCTAAGAAAAGAAAGACTAAATAACAGTGCCTATAGGATGGGATGATATGGAGGACTCTGAAAGTAAAGAGATACAGTTTTGATAAGAATCAAATTTGAGATATAGACTAAAAATAATAGAGCCAGAACGGTGGCACACACCTGTAATCACAGTGACTTGGGAGGCTGAGACAGGAGGATTTCAAATTCAAAGCCAGCCTCAGCAAAAGAGGCACTAAGCAACTCATAAGACCCTGTCTCTAAATAAAAACATAAAATAGGGCTTGGGATGTGGCTCAGTGTTCCTGAGTTCAATCCCTGGTACAAAAAAAAAAAAAAAAAAAAAAAGTAGTGACTGAGAGTATTTTATTCTAGGCAAAAGTATCAGAGCCCTAGGGCACCCTGGACTCAAGGAGCAAGTCCAGTTAATCCAGCCCACACTGGGCGGGTTATGAGCTCTGCACTGAAGATGCTGTGTTTGTCCCTCCCTTAGGTGCTGAGCCAGCAAGTGGGAGTTGGTGCCTTTGTAATAGACATATGGTCCAAGTTAGGAGACATATGCCTTAATAGAGATCAAGAATTTTTCCACTTAATTTAAAAATACAAATGTAACTCTTTTTTTTTTCCTGTACTGTGGATTGAATCCAGAGTTGCTTAACCACTGAGCCACATCCACAGCTCTTTTTAAATATATCTTTAAAGTCAGGGTCTCACTAAATTGCTGAGGACATTGCTAAGTTGCTGAGGCCGGCTTTGAACTCACCATCCTCCTCCTGCCTCAGCCTTCTCTTTGGGATTACAGACGTGCACGCCCAGCATAACTCTTAATTTAAAAACAAAAAGGATTTAACTTTAAAATGGCACCAAACACTGTCTTTAAGAGATTATATATTTAAACATAATTTATACTAACTCTAATCTTCAGAGTTAATTTTAAATTCTCTTTATGACGCTCTCTGAGGGAAAAAAAAATTCTCTTGGAAGTAGAATCTTTCCTGGGCTTGTGCACAGCTTTGAAGCTTCAGCCCAAACAGGCATGGGTACATCTTGTAGCATATCAGAGTTAGTAGCAAGTTGTTTGGTGGGACCCCACGCAGACTAGAAGTTCCTTAGCACACAATTGTTCACCTCCCAAGGAGGGTGAATGAGAAATTTTAGAGGAAACATAAACCATGAATGACTGTGCAGGCTCTAGTTTCCTACTACATGTTTTCTTCTTCTCTCCTACAGCAAGTATATGAATATCTCTGACAGGGGAGTGGTGGCTTCAGAAATGTCCCTGCTAATGTGACAACATCTCTGCCTCCTAGCTTTTTGCCTCCTTTTGTAGTCATTTGCCTTTAGCCAGTTCCTTTAGCAGGGTCTCTAATTCTATTCTATGTACATAAAAGCCACAAATGGCCTCTCTTGTGGAGCGTTATAGGACAGATGCTGTCATGTATAACTGATGAGAACAAACAAAAAATAAATTTTAAAAAGAGTAAATCGTAGAAAATTACCTTTTAAGGGAAATGTCAGCAAAACCCCTTTCTGCCTCAAAAAATTTAAGTGAGATAGGAAGTTGCTTGACAATTGCCTCTCAAGTTGGACCCCTGATCTTAACTTGTGACTGCCTTACCAGTAAAGTAGTTATAACTGCATTCAAGAAGTTGGAGGTGGGGGAGGTACTGCTGCCCGCGTAATGCATTGTGACGAGTTGGAGCTGGGAGATGAGGCAGGAAGGCCATGTTCCAAACAAGGGACACCACTGTTCCTCCTCTCTCTCTCTGGTTTCCATCATTCTCAGTCATGTTTTAATGCTGATCATTCTCAAGTCTTCCCCATAGACCTTCAATCCTGAGCTTCAGGACTACCATTGTACTACCTGGGGTGGCCCTACTGTGAATATTAACCAAGCAACCCAGGGGTCTGGCTGAAAGGCAAGAAAACCAGCCTGGGCTGCAGACAATAGCCACTACTAATAGAAAATATGATGTTCTCTATGTGAGGGAGGGACCCCTCCCCACACCAAATGGAAATGAGTGAGAAGACAGGCATGCAGAGGGGTTTAGGTGGCACTCAGGAACCTGGTGACAATGAGAAAGTCTGATGTAGAAGAAAAGAGAGAACTAGTTTCCTAACATGTTTCCTTGTGCCTTTAAATAGCGTGTTGCCAAGTGATTTGAGGCCTTTTAAGAGCTTTGCTGGGAAATACCTCTGTCCTCTGCTGTTGCTATGAGAAATCTTTGTTTGTTTATTAGTTTCATTTACAGAAGGCACCAGATGTTTAAAAACCTCAGGCCACATACATAATCAAAATGACATCATTAAAATGCTAATGATAGCAAACCCACTTCAAACACTTTCTCCCCAGCAGTGGGGATGCTGGCCTTTACACTCCCCAAACAAATGCACCATCTTTAATTTTCCCATCAAAAATGCTTTGCCATCTATCTTATTATCTTACTTACTTTTTTTCCCCCTTAAATCCTCCCCCTTAAATCCTTTCCCCTGAAGCAGGAATTCAAAGTTTAGCCTATTAAGGAACTTAACCTCCCCTGGATCTCTTGATTCATAAATAAAAATTTAGGTTTGCTGTATATGACTTTAACTTCCTTGGATTCCTCAGAGTAAGTGAAATACGTTTGGCCATTATTCAGCTGTCTGAAAAGTCATTCAGATTATGACTATATCGAAGCTAGGCTTGTTTTTACTTAATTTTATTCCAACGAGACGCAGAATACTTCTTGATCATGTTGAATCATATGAAACTGAATATTAAACCATTTGTTTTACCTACAAAACAGCAATTCTATATGATTTAACCTAACATATTCTATGTATGCAATGGTAGAGACGAAAGGTACTGTGAAGGATCCTTAATGGGTCTTCTTAGATTTTCCAGTAACCAAGTTCCAAGGAGAAAAAGCTGTCATCCTTTCCACACTGACATGGAATGGAGGTAGCAGCATTTTCTTGGGACTTGCCTACACAGTGACAGGAGTATTTCTGTGGATGTCTTCCTTTGCCCTGATGGCAATTCAAGGGAAGATGAGAAAAAAGAAACTGTCCCATCGTCGTTAAAGTCAAGATTTACAAAGGAAAGCAACGAATAGAAATGAGGAGTGACGTAATAGAGCCAAAGGTCTCAGGCAAGGCTTGAGATGGCTGAGACATTTCAACAGGGGGAACTGGATTGACAGAACCAAAACCATTCCAGACAGATAAATAATGGGAATTTCAGAGGTGAGAGAGAGGAGGAGTTGGGGGAGGGAGAAAGGCATAATTATGTGTAATAAATGTCCTTGGAATGAGGTTAATAAATCATCCTTGCGCTCTAGACCAAGTCTCAAGTATTTATTTGAAGTCCTCCGTGCCTGACGATGAGGGAGCAGCCTAGAAGAAGGCCATTGCAAGATGATGCAAACCTGCTTTCAACTATCAGATCAGCCTACTGACTGGCTGAGATTATTCTAGACTTCCCAAGAATAATTGCTGAATTGAGAATCAGAATGATTTTTGAAAATTGATTATTTAAAATATTTAAAAACTAAGTTTTTTTTCTAAGAATAGACCAAGCAAAGGCTATGACACCCAGAATGTAGCCAATACATGAAAAGAAGGGCCAGAATTTTCCTTAAAGTTATCCATGTGACCAAGAGGGAAACACTGAAAGTGACTGATTCTCAAAAATTGTACTCAGAATGTTGAGGACAAAAAAAAAAAAACTCTAGAACTTATATTGGGATGACAAATGGTGACATGGATTTATGATTTGAATTACATGTGTGGAGGGAGCTTCTCAAGGTTCATTTTTAAAAGGTTTTAATTCCTGCCAAAACTCACTTACAGGAGACTGGATGGAATGGAGTGCCTGGCAAAGCTACCAGATCACAAAGCCCCACAGATTTGGGTATCTAAATGACCATAGTATTAGACTTTTTTTTTTTTTTTGGTGGGGGATGGGATTGAACACAGGCCCTCACACATTAAGCTTTACCACTGAGCCATATCCCCAGTCCTGACCACAATACTATGCTTTCTAAAACATTTTTTGTATTAATACTCTGTGATGATTCTAGGAACAGAATTGCCATTGTTAAAAATATAGTACCAACATGTAGGTCTCTTTTGGAGCCAAGAAAGTCTTTCTTTGTTACAACTTTTTGCATTCACTGAAAAATGCAGCTGGAATTGTTTCAACACCCAACTCAGAAATCTAAGACTCCAGTCCTTTCTCACCTCCCAGGTTTGCACCAGTTATCTCTGGTGAGCAGGTGTGGTAGGCTGCATGGTGCCCCCCTATCTCCCGCCAGCCACTAAAACTATCCACATCCAAATCCCTGCAGCATATACATGTTATTCTACTTGTCGAAGAAGACTTTGCATACATGTGTGATTCAGTTAAGGATACTGATATGAGGAGATTATCCTGGGTTTTCTGGGTGGGTCCAGGGTAATCACAAGGGTCCTTTAAAGAGGAAAACAGGAGATCTGGGGAATAGTGGATGTGACAACAGAAAACGGAAGGTTGGAGCCCTGAGAGGAAGGAGCCACTCTCAAAAGACAGCAGACAGCCTCTAAAAGCTGGCAAAAGCAAGAAGTGATTCTCCTCTAAAGTCATCAGAAGCCCTGCCAACACTTTGATCTGACCTCCAGAAATATATAGTAAATAGATTTATGTTGTTTTAAGCACAGAGCATGTGGTAAAATGCTAGAACGTGCCAAGAGCAATGGCTTGCTGGTCTTAGGTGACCTATCCAGGGCAGAGTGCTAAGGCAGAGTGCTAGGAAGAGACAGAGCTCATGAATGAACCAGGCCCACCGAGGTAAGGTCCTGGGCTCTTGGCCCTTAGCCCACACTCCTCAGCACGGTGCTGATTAGGAAAGGCATAAACACTCTCCTTACGTCTCGACCTTGCTTGTCCACTTAAAGGATGCTGTATTAGCCAAGGTTCTACAGAGAAGCAGAATCCATAAAGGTGTGTGTGTAGAGTAGATAAACACAGAGATGTATTTTTAAATTTTAAATGTATTTTTCATGTCCTATAATCCCAGGGACTCAGGAGGATCACAAGTTTGAGGCCAGCCTCAGCAACTCAGTGAGAAGTAAGCAACTTAGTGAGACCCTGTCTCAAAGTACAAAATAAAAAGCACTGGGGGTGTGACTCAGTGGTTAAGTGCCCCTGGGTTGTTCAACCCCTGTTTTTTTTTTTTTAATGGCTCATGTAACTGTAGAGGCTGGCAAGTCCAGAGTCTGATGGGTGAGGCCTGCTCAGGAAAGACTTGCAGTCAAAGTCTGAAGGTATCTTTCTGGGAAACAGGAGCTGCTGTTGCAGATGAAGACTAAAGGCAGTCTACTGGAAAGCTCCCTTTGACTCTGGAAAGGTCAGGCTTTCCTTGTATTCAGGTTTTCATGTTGGGAAGCCCCGTCTGCTTTACTGGGTTGGGTGCCCATCTCACCTAAGAACACCCTCACAGAAACATCCAGAGGAAGGTTTGACCAAATGTCTTGGCACCCCATGGCCCAGCCAAGTTGGCAAGTAAAATTAACCAAACAGGCATCTGTGTTCAACAAGTAGTCAAGAAGTTTTCCAAAGAAGACCCCTTTGTTTCATTTTGTCTAGAGCTGGCTTACTGGGAAGGACCTATACAAAAACACAAGTCATGTCCATGAGAAACTAAAACACTTGAGAAAGATAACCAGAATTTATGCCAGAGCAGACTCTGGTTTGAATGTCCTGTTTTTCTAACCCAAAGTCCATGCCTTCAAAGGAGTTTGTCCTTGCAGGACTGTTACCTGTTCCAAAATCCAGAGCCTTTCTCCTTGACCCTGTCAGAGAAGAGCAGCATCACTCACCCTCGCGGCCCTCCCCACAGTGGACAATTGCCCTTACTGATTTTCTTTCTCTTCTGTTCTACTCTCACCACTCCCATCACTTTGCTTTCTCTCTCTCTCTCTCTCTCTCTCTCTCTCTCTCTCTCTCTCTCTCTCTTTAAAAATTTGTTCTTTTTAGATATGCATGACAGTAGAGTGTATTTTGACACTATACATACGTGAAGCATAGCTTATTAGGATCCCATTCTTGTGGTTGCACATGATGTGGGGTTTCACAGGTTGTGTATTCATATAGGAACATAGGAAAGTTATGTCCAGTTCATTCTATTATCTTTTCTCTTTCCATCCTGCCTCCCTTCCCTTCATGTCCCTTTGTCTAATCCAATGAACTTCTTTTCTCACCCTCTCCCCTTATTGTGTGTTAACATCTGCATATCAGAAAGAACAATGAATGGACCTTTGGTTTTTTTGAGATTGGCTTATTTCACTTAGCATGATAGTGTCCAGTTCCATCTATTTTTGGGCAAATGACATAATTTCATTCTTCTTTATGGCTAAGTAATATTCCATTGTGTATATACAACACATTTTCTTAATCCATTCATCTATTGAAGGGTACCTAGGTTAGTTCTACATCTTAGCTATTGTGAATTGAGCTGCATAGATATTGATATGGCTGTGTCACTGTAGGATGCCGATTTTAAGTCCTTTGGGTAGATGCAGAGGAGTGGGGTAACTGGGTCAAATGGTGGTTCCATTCCAAGTTTTCTGAGGAATCTCCATACTGCTTTCTAGAATGGTTGCACCAATTTCAGTCCCACCAGCAATGTATGAGTGTGCCTTTTTCCCCATATCCTCATCAATATTTATTATTGCTTGTATTCTTGATAATTGCCATCATGACTAGAGTGAGATAAAATTTTGGAGTAGTTTTAATTTGCATTTCTCTTAACTGCTAGAGATGTTGAACATTTTTTCATGTATTTATTGACCAATAGTATTTCTTCTTCTGTGAAGTGCCTGTTCAGTTCCTTTATCCATTTATTGATTGGGTTATTTGGATTTTTGTTTTGTTGTCTTAAGTTTTTTTGAGTTCTTTACATATCCTGAAGATTAATGCCATATCAGAGGTGCAGGTGGTAAAGATTTTCTCCCATCTATAGGCTCTCTCTTCATATTCTTGATTGTTTCCTTTGCTGTGAAGAAGCTTTTTACTTTGATATCATCCTAGTTATTAATTCTTGATTTTACTTCTTATACTTATTGAGTCTTACTGAGCAAGTCGATTCCTAAGCTGACATGACAGAGAGTTGGTCCTCCATTTTCTTCTAGTAGATGCAGGGTTTCTGGTCTAATGTCTAGGTGTTTGATCCACTTTGAGTTGAGCTTTGTGCAGGGTGAGAGACAGGTATTCAATTTCATTCTACTACATGTTCATTTCCAGTCTTCTCAACACCATTTGTTTCTCCCATGGATGTTTATGGCACCTTTGTCTAGTATGAGATAACTGTATTTATGTGGGTTTGTCTCTGTGTCTTCTATCCCATTGGTCTTCATGTCTGTTTTGGTGCCACAACCATGCTATTTCTCTTACTATAGCTCTGGAATATAATTTAAGTCCTGGTATTGTGATACCTCCTGCTTCACATTTCTCGCTAAGGATTGCCTTGGCTATTCTGGGCCTCTTATTTTTCCAAATGAATTTTATGACTGCTTATTCTATTTCTATGAAGAACATCATTGGAATTTTAATAGGTATTACATCAAATCTGTATCACACTTTGGGTAGTATGTTCATTTTGACAATATTAATTCTGCCTATCCAAGAACATGGGAGGTCTTTCCATCTTCTAAGGTCTTCTTCAGTTTCTTTGGTCTCCCTGTAGTTTTCACTGTAGAGGTCTTTCCCCTCTCCTGTTAGAT